CAAGAAGAAGCTATGTTATTTGCTCCATACTACTTATTGCTAGCAACCCAAGACGAAAACCGAGAGACACCACTACAATTAACCGCAATAGAGTCGCACAGAGACTCAAGTAGACTTCCCTTCCTTGAAGCAGTCCACTTCCTTCAGCACTGTTTGCAGCCCTTTGCCAGCTGCATTCGCCAATGGATGTATTCCATGATCAGGGCCCTTGATGTATGCTCGATTTTCCCTCTCCTTCTCAAAGGAGATATCATAGCGGTTCTCGACATCTGCATACAAAAATCATCACCCCACTATAGAAAATCATAACTCGAAATTCAAAACAGCCGAAATGCATGTCACCTCATCACCTATCCATCTTACTGTAAGCACAGCGTAATCCACCTTTTGGAATGGAAAATCAAATGCTCTTATGGTCTTTATCATTTGTTAATTTAAAATACAGTAAACTTTTTCATCCAATCTTTTCCCTCCACGTCATTTTATATAACCCATTATGTACCATTTTATAATCCATCAAAGAATATTATCCACCACCATACCTTATAAGTAGTACTATCCGTTTCAATTTTATACCAAATTCCTTATGCCACCTAATCTGGTGTAACAATGAACTAAACAGATGCCCGTATTACCTTTAGCAAGAGTTTCATAGAGCTGGCCATCCCTAGTGAGAGCCATCATAACTTGAGGGATTCCAAGGGGAAGATTGTCACCTTTATCAACCTGCCAGAAGTGAATCACCTTACCATAAGTCTTGGCAACCTTCTCTAAATCCTGGCGCTGGATGGGGCCGGGAACTCCGGGCATGAACAGAACCCCACTCTTCACTTCAAACTCGTGGGAGTGCCAGAATTTCTTCTCTTCATCTGGCAGTGTCAAGAACAGTTGTTCAGATACTATATATTCTAGCCCAATAAGCCGCCCATCATCATCAGGCCTGTCGTATATAAGACACTGCCTGAATTCCTCGTTTAGATGTCCACAGAAATGGTGCGCTTCGACCTGTCGAGTCATATCGTGCCCATAGAAATGAAATCTGAACCAAACAGACATTTTAACAAACATGTAGTGTGCAACACAATAATCTCCACAAATTACCATAATCACACAAATGTGCAAGAACCAAAAAGGGCTTACGCGCAGAGATGCTGGTGAATTTTATTAACAGGGCCAAAGCCTTGAATAGTGGCGGTAGCCTTCTCAAGAAGGGCCGTTCTTGTCTGGATTGGCTCACCAGGAATCTCTGGATGTGTAGAAACATTAACTCCTTCCATTTATTTTCCTATCTCTCTTCTCCAACTGATCCCACAACACAGATCGATCCCGTTGAATTTGAGAAAACTCCACTGGGTTTGCATATTCAGAGGGCAGCGTATTTAGCTTGGATGGACGGGAGCATGCAGGCTCACACGTGGCATTGGACGTGGCACGTGCTTGAAATGGGTTTGTAAGGTGGCAATCGTGCGTGTTGTCAATCTCGGCAGATTCTGCGGATAAAAATAGGTAGTCGGTGATAACTACGTTCGAACGGTCTTTGACTAGCTCAGCAATTTGCCTAAATAAAAAAAAAAAAAAATTTATTCATTTTAATAAATATGAAAACCAAGTTTTTAAATCCTATAAATTACTTTAGTCGAATTTCAAATCGAGTTTAGATGTTTGGCCCCCATTACGGCGAAAATTTAATGTATAGAATAGTGTTTTTTGAAAAATGAGTGGTTGAAAAAGAAAGAAAAATTTTCGATTTACGTGTAATATTATTTTATGGAAGATTGTGTGATTGAAAATAGGAGAGAGAAAAAATAGAATGTAATGTAATGTAATTTAATGAAAATCAAACAAGGGCATATTGTCTCGTTGTTTCACTAGTTTTTCCCTCAATCAAATTTTGACAACTCGGAAACGTAGATTATCAAAATTTCAATGCGATCTAATTCGATCTCATAAATTCGAATAGTATTATTCATTTAAACTGTTGCAGTTAGGTGTGATCTATTCAAAATGTCCAAATCACGTAACTAAGACTTTTGAATTAACCATCAATCGTATAGATTGATTTGATAAACAATCAACGAGACAACAAGGAGGAGACATCAATTTTGGATTTGATTTTTTATATTTAGTTGCAAAAAATATATAATTTTGTGAAGAATTCATGAAATATTTACTAAAGATTTTGGTTTGACTATTTCTTTAGCACATAGCAAGTCAACACTAATGTCGATAACTTTTTTCTATCATACGGAATAAATCAAGCATTAGATAACGATTTTGATATTTGTTATGATTTTTTTTCTCAAATAAATAAATAAAGAAGTTTTAATAAAAATATCGAGTCACTTTTCAATCTTCATCACGTACATATAAAAATTTATATCTCGTCAAAAATCCATTAGAGATGTTCTCTCTGTAAAATTAATTGTCTTTGCATTGCATATTTACCATGAGGGTTGGGGTGGCAGTGCAAAAAATGAAAAGATTGTGATCTATTTGTACTCTTTCGAAATGTTAAGAGACTCAATCTACAATATTCTCATATTTTTAATTTGCAGGATCTATCATTTCTTTTGTTACATGGATCGAATTTTAATTTTAATTGGAAAAGGCAATCTTTTGTATAACAAAAAAATAGATGAGACCATCATTGATTTCGAGTCTCCTTGGAATAAAGGAAAAAATGATAATTATTGACGACTCTTGGATGGAATTTGAAATGAATTTAGTCAAAATCAAATATTAATTTTAACTACACAACTATAGTTACTAATCATTATTATACATACTGGACGTGCAGGGTCCCCAATTCGAAAAGGCCTTATTTTCTCAAGAATAATACTGTTTAGTTCCACTGGAGTTGCAACCCTAATTTATGTGGCATTAAATGATGGAGTAAGTCATAAATTGGGGTTATAATTCCAGCAGGTAAATAATATTATTTACTTTTGAAAGATCTATCTTTTATCAAGTCTTGCCATGATTCAAATCATTCTCTTGATGCTTATTCTCTTCATCATAATTGATCTGTTTGCCTCAAGATACCAATAAGAAAATCCCAATTCATTAGGTTTTTGGATACTATCAAATAGAAACCTCTACTGGGGGACATATCCTAGGAGCCCAAATTATGTTCGTAAATATATCATCCTCTATTTCGTAAGACTCGGCACTATTTGTGATTTAGGGTGGTGGAAGTGGTGAAATGATATAATGAACATGCAGGCAAAGTTTTGTTGATTTTAAATGAATATCGCAACATGATCGCCTTTAATGTCTGTTGATTCCGAATAATAGTAGAAAACCTAAGAATAAAAAACTATTTGATTAGCACACGAATTCAGAGAATTTGTACTCAATGACTTAAATATCAAATATGGATAATTTAAGAAATTGGAGAAGATCTCAACATTAATACTTTATTTTATACTCGTAATTTTAGACTGCACTATACCAGATATCCAACTGTTATTGAAGAATATGGCAATGCAAATTGGATATCTGGCGGATGGCTCGACTTAGCACTTGCACGTGCACGGGTCATGGGCTTGGACCAAGTTGGTATGCGTGTGTGTATATATTTGTAAAATAATATTTGAATTAATATTATTATTAAATTAAAATAATATATTTTTCTACATTATTTATTTTCCTCGATTTTTTCTGTGTGCAACACGTACATCTTTTAGAAACTCACGATTGACTGTTAAACCACCTATGCAAATGGGTTGTCTACTCAAAACACAACTTTTCAACTCCTATAAATAGATCCCATTATGCCAGATTTTTCATTCCAAATCAATTCTGATTTTTCTCTCTTGCAAATTATTTTCCTTCCTTCATGAATTATTCCATATTTTGCATTTTCAGTCCTGTATATTATTTTCTTGCATTTTAGTCCTGCAATTTTAGAGAGATCAAAACATTAGTGGGTTTGTCATCGTAATTAGGAGTGCCACTATTACAAGACAAGTTTATTGTATCTTGGGCGATGAGTGTCGAAAGATCGTCAGCGGAACCTTATCGTCTTAAGAAGAAAGAGTCGAACTCTTGCCTCGACTATTATTATTCCAGTTTATTTTGTAAATCGAAATTTTGCCCAACCGTTTATTTGGTACAAAAAGATTACTTTAAATATCTATTATTGCATGCTAAAATCAATATTTTACCAACAATTTTACCAAGTGATTGTTATAAATTAATTGTCATATCATGTCATTTTTATGAACCATTTATTGAGTTATGATGTTACGTAAATGAGAAACACCTTAAATTGTTCGCTTGTGTAGTGAAAACTGAGTCATGCATTAAATAATATCTATATACCTGGAAAGTATATTCACAGGTCTTGTACTATATTGCATTAAAGGAATTTTGATCGTGTTGTCTGAGGTTTTGGGACTTACTTCCATGCATTGAGGAGGTTCTAAGCTCTCAAGCAATATGAATCATGCTACATGTATCGAATTTTTTTATCTAATCCCTTATCGACTATTCACAATAAAGGGCGAGGATCACAATTTGGAATTTTTTTTTTATTCACGCAGATCTTGTATACATGTGAAAGGGGATAAACAATTTAGTACAATTTTGAGTGTACAAATAGAATTATTCTGGGCAATATATTCGCGTATGATCTAATTACAATATTGGAAGGTACATTTTTTGTGAGATTTTTTCAATATATTATGATATTGTGGGAATTCAAATTTTCAAATACATAGTTTTAGCTGATGATTTTTTTGATAATTATGAGATGGTATTGTTTTATAGGATTTACAGCGATACATATATAGACTTAGTACTTGTTCGATGGCCTTAAAATTCAAAAAACATAGTTATGAATAATATTTTTTGGAGAACGTGTGATTAAAAAGTTATTATTTTGAGTTTACATATAAAATATATTTATTGTGGGACCGTGTGACTGAAAATGAGCATAAAAAATAAATTGAAGTAAAAATAATCAAACAAAGACTTAACATCATTGTAAATGGCTTTGTAAGAATCATGATATATAGTTTTTACAAGTACAATTGAGATTTGATATTGTTGAACTGTAAAGTGATATTATTAAATATTATAGTAATTATTTTACATGAGAATTTATAATTAATATCTAGACTCTCTATCTATCAAGTCTATCAACTCATATATTATTCCAATGCTATCACGTAGCAACTGAGTTAATGAACAACTTTTGAAGAGTCTGTCGATTTCAGAGGCAATGCTGCAAACATATTTAGCTTATGTTCCATTTTAGTTGAGCATGTAGATGTTAATTTTTGACACTTGCTCATTCCTAGATTGTTGTTCTTTCTACATCGTGTAATTAATAAAATGATTGGTAGCATATCACATTCAGCCTTGACGTTGGATCAAGCATCTAGTTTCATAGTCGACGTTACGTCACCTTTTGTAATACTTGAATTTCTATTGCATCACTTACGGAACATCATTTTGAAATTTATAGAACCGATCGAGAAGATTTATGCTGCAATGGTACGAGTTTCATCGTTCTAATAACAACATCCATCGCCGACGAAATGTGCCACCTCTATTAGGCTAGCTGCCCAATATGTAATTTTCTAGTGTCTACACTTCGATGGCTTCCTTGATTCTTGTTCGTGTGTATCATTTATATTCTTGAAATTAGATTAATTTCACACATTAGAAAAATCAATTGAATAATTTATAAGCTAACTCACCAAACCTAACATCACATCTTCATTTTCACGTAACATTGTTCTCTATATAAATTCCGCATCTCGGAATAATTTATAAGCTCATTCCATTTCAAATTTGCCGGCACTTCAATTTACGTCCCGGAATTTATTTGGATCTGGCCGGAATATTCTACTCCGGCTACCCACGTTAATTGTCCCATCTTTACAATCAATTTCACAGGCCAGGTATTTACTTGTTTAAATGTGTACACATTCTTAATCATGAATCTCGACAAGAAATCCCAATTTCGATAGATCTATAGTGAATAAATTGATTCCTATGCAATCGGTTTCGCCTTCACCGTTTCAGTGCTTGATCCGGAAAGTTGAGGTTTTGTTTTCATGCGGACGAATTTTAGAATTTGTCGTTCTGATGAGATGTGGCCGTAATGCGATTTTTGTGGGTGTGTGTGTGTGTTTTGAATTGTAATGGATTCAAAAATAGGCATTGTCATTATTGCATTTGTGAATTGTTATCTTTCAAGACTGTTGCTGTTATCATCCAGATGTTGAGAACATCGAAATTTACATGATACTTGTGTGTCAACTCACGAATCATATTGCTTTCTGGAGTATTTTAAATAAATAAGCTACTGTTGGTGAGTTAGGGAAAGGGTTATTACCTGAGTTCTTCATTCCGTTTCTGTTTTTGCATGCACAGGTTAAACTTTGCATAGCCCTAGTAATTATTTGGGGATTTTGAGCTGATGAAGAACGGGATGATAGAGTGCAGTGTCTGTCATTCCAAGCTGGTCTCTCCATCCACAAAATCTGTTTCACGGGCATATGATCGCCACAGGAACAAGGTATCATCAAAGCAACGGGCTCTCAACTTCCTTTTGGTTGGTGGTGATTGTGTCCTGGTTGGTTTACAGGTAACTGTCTTATTATTTTATTTATTTATTTTTTTGTTCTGCGTTTTTCACCTTATCGCATGCTTCCATATTTAAGAGTCTTAGCTGTTCCATTCTTCCTGCGAGAGCTGTTGATTCAATCCTAGTTCTTAATATTGAGATGTGAAGAAAATTCTGGATACTTTTAGTCTTGAGTAGGTCCATGCTTCAATAAAATCACTCATTATCACAAGGCTATGCGACAAGAAACTGTGTAAGAAGACTATTTTATGATTTACCATATAAAATTCCTATACTCAGCTTAGTGATCACTGTTGAGTGTGACATTCTGCATTTTACCCACTTGGTATCAGATTCATTTACAGCGGAAAACATATTCTGCTATAATATTATCTGCAAAATTACCTGTTTATTGTGTTTTGGGTTTTGCATTTTGTGCCCCATCTAACTTTTTACGTTAAGTATTCCTGTTGACCATTTAACAACCTACATTTTTACTTACATTCTATCTGTTTTCAACAATTGGGTTCTGACTGTTTCTTTAGTACATAAGATGAAAGAGCGTGCCAAACTAACAGGAGATCTTTCATTATGTCTAAGGTATCTGTGAATGTAGCCTTATGGCTTTCTTCTGATTACAAAGGTGGAATTCTGAGAATTGTAACCTGAATACTCAAATCTTTTATTTTTTTCTGTTCCTTATAAAAAGGTAAATACTTGCATGTACATGTATGAGACACGTTATATGTCCATTCTCCTTTTAAGCAATATGTCCATGAACTGTATCTACCACCATTTCTGATTGTAATTTTGCAAGGTGTCATGTTGTGTTATTTGACATTACATACCGCAGTGTCCTAATTATGATTAAAAAGCCCTACTTAATCATTCTCTTTGTTTTCAGCCTATCTTGGTTTTTATGTCAAAGGTGGATGGAAAATTTAAGTTTAGCCCTATTAGTGTCAACTTTTTGACTGAGGCTGTGAAAGTTATTTTCGCGATTGTAATGCTTCTAATCCAGGTACTTCATCCCTTCATGTTCCAAGGCATGTTATATTTTCTGTTGGTTAAGTCCTATTGGTGTGTCAATATGTCTATTAATGCTATGTAGCCCCACTAGGGGTGCAACCCCAATTTAGGTGGTGCTAGATAATATGCTAAATGAAAGGTGAAATTAAATGAATCTTGTAATTTAATTTATCATTTAATGTCATATTAACGTCATCTAGACTCCAGTGGGCCTAATAGCATTACTCCAATATGTTTGGATTTCTTCAAGTAAATTTAAGTAACAAAGGTGAGAACACATGTACAGGGGATATATGAGAGAGTGGGTAACTAGCTCTTCAAAATTCTCAGCCAGAAGACTTCTCTAACTAAATTTAAAAAATGTGATTCTCAGAAAACTATTTTGTTATTATATTTATGTAGTAATTATTGTAAAGTAATATTATTTTGACTAAAGTATAATACTGTTAAAAGGAATCTTCACTCGTACAAACTAATTTTTTCCAGAAATTTCCAAATATCCACGTGCTAACATACAGCTAGTTATCTCTAATCATCGCACGTGGCTTTCTTGTTCTTGATTTTTATATGTTCAGGGATCATAAATAAATGGCTTATGTTTTACATATATGCGTAGTGATTTTTTGTGTATGTTGTTTCCTGGCAGGCTAGGAGGCAGAAGGTTGGTGAAAAGCCGCTTCAATGGTGCAAAGTTTGGTGTTGGGTTGGAGCAATTTTGCACCAAAAAATAGTGCAAAATGGTGCAATGATGTTGTGGTTGAAGATGCCCTAAAAGACTGGCCAGTTGCAGTTCGTGGAGGTGAACCATCCATACCTTTTAGAATCTATCGATATGTTCTAAAAAACGACGCCTCGACCCGCCTATGGAAAACTGCCTGCGCTCGCACATTTTAAATTTTTTATTTAGTTATCTTTTTATGCTTTTTTCTAATTATTAAATAATTTTTAGATTGATTTAAAAATGTAAAAGAATAACAGGTTTTTTTATTTATGTGTCGGCAAAGCTTGACCTCCACTTTCCCTTTTTTAGGACAGACGTCCAGCTCTTACAAACCCTTTACGAGGTCTCAACCTTTACGGGGTCTCACATGGGTGGGCCGATTTTATCTCTCTTTTTTTTTATATTTTTGCACCAGGTCCCACGTGCCCTGTGAATATTTCTTCTGGGATTTATTCTTTTTAGGAAGCTGGTCTATGCCCAATAGAAAATAATAGAAAATACTGGGAAGGCTGTACAGAAAGATGCATTGCTGCATTAGTGGCAAAATATTTACATAAACATGTGCATGCATACAAATATACATGCACAAGAAGAAGCTATGTTATTTGCTCCATACTACTTATTGCTAGCAACCCAAGACGAAAACCGAGAGACACCACTACAATTAACTGCAATAGAGTCGCACAGAGACTCAAGTAGACTTCCCTTCCTTGAAGCAGTCCACTTCCTTCAGCACTGTTTGCAGCCCTTTGCCAGCTGCATTCGCCAATGGATGTATTCCATGATCAGGGCCCTTGATGTGTGCTCGATTTTCCCTCTCCTTCTCAAAGGAAATATCATAGCGGTTCTCGACATCTGCATAAAAAAATGCATGTCACCTCATCATCTATCCATCTAACTGTAAGTACAGCATAATCCACCTTTTGGAATGGAAAATCAAATGCTCTTATGGTCTTTATCATTTGTCAGTTTAAAATACAGTCAACTTTTTCATCCAATCTTTTCTCACCACGTCATTTTATATAACCCATTATGTACCATTTTATAATCCATCAAAGAATATTATCCACCACCATACCTTATAAGTAGTACTATCCGTTTCAATTTTATACCAAATTCCTTATGCCACCTAATCTGGTGTAACAATGAACTAAACAAATGCCCATATTACCTTTAGCAAGATTTTCATACAGCTGACCATCCCTAGTGAGAGCCATCATAACTTGAGGGATTCCAAGGGGAAGATTGTCACCTTTATCAACCTGCCAGAAGTGAATCACCTTACCATAAGTCTTCGCAACCTTCTCTAAATCCTGGCGCTGGATGGGGCCGGGAACTCCGGGCATGAACAGAACGCCACTCTTCACTTCAAACTCGTGGGAGTGCCAGAATTTCTTCTCTTCATCTGGCAATGTCAAGAACAGTTGTTCAGATACTATATATTCTAGCCCAATAAGCCGCCCATCATCATCAGGCCTGTCGTATATAAGACACTGCCTGAATTCCTCGTTCAGATGTCCACAGAAATGGTGCGCTTCGACCTGTCGAGTCATATCGTGCCCATAGAAATGAAATCTGAACCAAACAGACATTTTAACAAACATGTAGTGTGCAACACAATAATCTCCACAAATTACCATAATCACACAAATGTGCAAGAACCAAAAAGGGCTTACGCGCAGAGATGCTGGTGAATTTTATTAACAGGGCCAAAGCCTTGAATAGTGGCGGTAGCCTTCTCAAGAAGGGCCGTTCTTGTCTGGGTTGGCTCACCAGGAATCTCTGGATGTGTAGAAACATTAACTCCTTCCATTTATTTTCCTCTCTATTTCTCTTCTCCAACTGATCCCACAACACAGATCGATCCCGTTGAATTTGAGAAAACTCCACTGGGTTTGCATGTTTAGAGGGATGCGTATTTAGCTTGAAGGGACGGGACCATGCAGGCTCACACGTGGCATTGGACGTGGCACGTGCTGTGAAATGGGTTTGTAAGGTGGCAATCGTGCGTGTGGTCAATCTCGGCATATTCTGCGGATAAAAATAGGTAGTCGGTGATAACTACGTTCGAACGGTCTTTGACTAGCTCAGCAATTTGCCTAAATAAAAAAAATTATTCATTTTAATAAATATGAAAACCAAGTTTTTAAATCCTATAAATTACTTTAGTCGAATTTCAAATCGAGTTTAGATATATTTTCTCGTTGTTTCACTAGTTTTTCCCTCAATCAAATTTTGACAACTCGGAAACGTAGATTATCAAAATTTCAATGCGATCTAATTCGATCTCATAAATTCGAATAGTATTATTCATTTAAACTGTTGCAGTTAGGTGTGATCTATTCAAAATGTCCAAATCACGTAACTAAGACTTTTGAATTAACCATCAATCGTATAGATTGATTTGATAAACAATCAACGAGACAACAAGGAGGAGACATCAGTTTTGGATTTGATTTTTTATATTTAGTTGCAAAAAATATATAATTTTGTGAAGAATTCATGAAATATTTACTAAAGATTTTGGTTTGACTATTTCTTTAGCACATAGCAAGTCAAAACTAATGTCGATAACTTTTTTCTATCATACGGAATAAATCAAGCATTAGATAACGATTTTGATATTTGTTATGATTTTTTTTTCTCAAATAAATAAATAAAGAAGTTTTAATAAAAATATTGAGTCACCTTTCAATCTTCATCACGTATATTTGAAAATTTATATCTCGTCAAAAAATCCAGTAGAGATGTTCTCTCTCTAAAATTAATTGTCCTTCCATTGCATATTGACCATGAGGGTTGGGGTGGCAATGCAAAAAATGAAAAGATTGTGATCTATTTGTACTCTTTTGAAATGTTAAGAGACCCAATCTACAATATTCTCATATTTTTAATTTGCAGGATCTATCATTTCTTTTGTTACATGGATCGAATATTAATTTTAATTGGAAAAGGCAATCTTTTGTATAACAAAAAAATAGATGAGACCATCATTGATTTCGAGTCTCCTTGAAATAAAGGGAAAATTGATAATTATTGACAACTCTTGGGTGGAATTTGAAATGAATTTAGTCAAAATCAAATATTAATTTTAACTACATAGCTATAGTTACTAATCATTATTATACATACTGGACATGCAGAGTCCCCAATTCGAAAAGGCCTTATTTTCACAAGAATAATACTGTTTAGTTTCACTGGAGTTACAATCCTAATTTATGTGGCGTTAAATGATGGAGTAAGTCATAAATTAGGGTTATAATTCCAGCAGGTAAATAATATTATTTACTTTTGAAAGATCTATCTTTTACCTAGTCTTGTCATGATTCAAATCATTCTCTTGATGCTTATTCTCTTCGTCATAATTGATCTGTTTGCCTCAAGATAAACTGGACCAATAACAAAATCCCAATTCATTAGGCTTTTGGATACTATCAAATAGAAAGCTCTACTGGGGGACATATCCTAGGAGCCCAAATTATGTTCGTAAATATATCATCCTCTATTTCGTAAGACTCGGCACTATTTGTGATTTAGGGTGGTGGAAGTGGTGAAATGATATAATGAACATGCAGGCAAAGTTTTGTTGATTTTAAATGAATATCGCAACATGATCGCCTTTAATGTCTGTTGATTCCGAATAATAGTAGAAAACCTAAGAATAAAAAACTATTTGATTAGCACACGAATTCAGAGAATTTGTACTCAATGACTTAAATATCAAATATGGATAATTTAAGAAATTGGAGAAGATCTCAACATTAATACTTTATTTTATACTCGTAATTTTAGACTGCACTATACCAGATATCCAACTGTTATTGAAGAATATGGCAATGCAAATTGGATATCTGGCGGATGGCTCGACTTAGCACTTGCACGTGCACGGGTCATGGGCTTGGACCAAGTTGGTATGCGTGTGTGTATATATTTGTAAAATAATATTTGAATTAATATTATTATTAAATTAAAATAATATATTTTTCTACATTATTTATTTTCCTCGATTTTTTCTGTGTGCAACACGTACATCTTTTAAAAACTCACGATTGACTGTTAAACCACCTATCCAAATGGGTTGTCTGCTCAAAACACAACTTTTCAACTCCTATAAATAGATCCCATTATGCCAGATTTTTCATTCCAAATCAATTCTGATTTTTCTCTCTTGCAAATTATTTTCCTTCCTTCATGAATTATTCCATATTTTGCATTTTCAGTCCTGTATATTATTTTCTTGCATTTTAGTCCTGCAATTTTAGAGAGATCAAAACATTAGTGGGTTTGTCATCGTAATTAGGAGTGCCACTATTACAAGACAAGTTTATTGTATCTTGGGCGATGAGTGTCGAAAGATCGTCAGCGGAACCTTATCGTCTTAAGAAGAAAGAGTCGAACTCTTGCCTCGACTATTATTATTCCAGTTTATTTTGTAAATCGAAATTTTGCCCAACCGTTTATTTGGTACAAAAAGATTACTTTAAATATCTATTATTGCATGCTAAAATCAATATTTTACCAACAATTTTACCAAGTGATTGTTATAAATTAATTGTCATATCATGTCATTTTTATGAACCATTTATTGAGTTATGATGTTACGTAAATGAGAAACACCTTAAATTGTTCGCTTGTGTAGTGAAAACTGAGTCATGCATTAAATAATATCTATATACCTGGAAAGTATTCGATGATTTTATTTGTTTTAGTTCATTCACAGGTCTTGTACTATATTGCATTAAAGGAATTTTGATCGTGTTGTCTGAGGTTTTGGGACTTTCTTCCATGCATTGAGGAGGTTCTAAGCTCTCAAGCAATATGAATCATGCTATATATATTGAATTTTTTTTACCTAATCCCTTATCGACTACTCACAATAAAGGGCGAGAATCACAATTTGAATTTTTTTTTTTTATTCACGCAGATCTTGCGTACATGTGAAAGGGGATAAACAATTTAGTACAATTTTGGGTGTACAAATAGAATTATTCTGGGCAATATATTCGCGTATGATCTAGTTACAATATTGGAAGGTACATTTTTTGTGAGATTTTTCAATATATTATGATATTGTGGGGATTCAAATTTTCAAATACATAGTTTTAGCTGATGATTTTTTTGATGATTATGAAATGGTATTGTTTTATAGGATTTACAGCGATACATATATAGACTTAGTACTTGTTCGATGGCCTTAAAATTCAAAAAACAGAGTAATGAATAGTATTTTTTTGGAGAATATGTGATTAAAAAGTTATTATTTTGAGTTTACATAAAAAATATATTTATTGTGGGACCGTGTGACTGAAAATGAGCATAAAAAATAAATTGAAGTAAAAATAATCAAACAAAGACTTAACATCATTGTAAATGGCTTTGTAAGAATCATGATATATAGTTTTTACAAGTACAATTGAGATTTGATATTGTTGAACTGTAAAGTGATATTATTCAATATTATAGTAATTATTTTACATGAGAATTTATAATTAATATCGAGACTCTCTATCTATCAAGTCTATCAACTCATATATTATTCCAATGCTATCACGTAGCAACTGAGTTAATGAACAACTTTTGAAGAGTCTGTCGATTTCAGAGGCAATGCTGCAAACATATTTAGCTTATGTTCCATTTTAGTTGAGCGTGTAGATGTTAATTTTTGACACTTGTTCATTCCTAGATTGTTGTTCTTTCTACATCGTGTAATTAATAAAATGATTGGTAGCATATCACATTCAGCCTTGACGTTGGATCAAGCATCTAGTTTCATAGTCGACGTTACGTCACCTTTTGTAATACTTTAATTTCTATTGCATCACTTATGGAACATCATTTTGAAATTTATAGAACTGATCGAGAAGATTTATGCTGCAATGGTACGAGTTTCATCGTTCTAATAACAACATCCATCCTCGACGAAATGTGCCACCTCTATTAGGCTAGCTGCCCCATATGTAATTTTCTAGTGTCTACACTTCGATGGCTTCCTTGATTCTTGTTCGTGTGTATCATTTATATTCTTGAAATTAGATTAATTTCACACATTAGAAAAATCAATTGAATAATTTATAAGCTAACTCACCAAACCTAACATCGCATCTTCATTTTCACGTAACATTGTTCTCTATATAAATTCCGCATCTCGGAATAATTTATAAGCTCATTCCATTTCAAATTTGCCGGCACTTCAATTTACGTCCCCGGAATTTATTTGGATCTGGCCGGAATATTCTACTCCGGCACCCACGTTAATTGTCCCATCTTTACAATCAATTTCACAGGCCAGGTATTTACTTGTTTAAATGTGTACACATTCTTAATCATGAATCTCAACAAGAAATCCCAATTTCGATAGATCTATAGTGAATAAATTGATTCCTATGCAATCGGTTTCGCCTTCACCGTTTCAGTGCTTGATCCGGAAAGTTGAGGTTTTGTTTTCATGCGGACGAATTTTAGAATTTGTTGTTCTGATGAGATGTGGCCGTAATGCGATTTTTGTGGGTGTGTGTGTGTGTTTTGAATTGTAATGGATTCAAAAATAGGCATT